TTAAAGACCACAGGACTGATTTAGATTCTTACCACTGTGTAAGCAAAAGTATCTTTTAGCCTTTTATGCACTTTTTTATACCGCTTTTTCTACTTTTCCAGATAGCGAATTCTTACAATGCCTTAAAATATTTCCTACACAACTGGCCTATAGTGGGACCCAGTTCTAGTGTCGACACATCTTAATTCCCAGTTTTTTTCAGTGAAATGACATAATAATAAATTCACAGTAACTACAAGTAATTTCAGGTTTCTATTTGCCTTGAGGCTCCTTGATATATGCCATTTCAGGGACAGAAGGGATCAGAGAAAAAAAAGTAAATGTTGATAAAATAGCCCAAAGTAAGTGTCAGCCAAAACATCAAGAGAGATTTGTGCAGTCCTTCCAAGGCTTTGCATAGCGTTTCCCATGTCTTTCTCAACTGCACAAGACAAAGCAATAGATCTGGGGTTTTAACAAGTCTTTTTACCTAAACAGAGTCAGTGCTCATAAACAGCAACGTTTCTCAGCATACCGCTTTCCATTTCCTGTTCAGTGGGGGTTTTGGTTTTTGCTTGGTTGGTTTTTTTTTTTTTTTACAATGAAAGTTGCTTTAAAAGATTTGTCTTGAGTGTTACCACTCATTAACGTTCTCATCCAGGGTAGTACAAATGGTATTGCACACTGCAGTATAACTTCCTAATAGTCAATAGCTTTATTCCCACGCACGTACATATGAAAAAAAAAAAAAAAAAAGAAAAAGGAAAATTTGAAAAAGCTGCTGAGAAAATCTAGGGGAGAATTTATAGTGAATCAATAATAAATCAGATAGCAGCCCATGTCCATCTTTAAGGTATGGACACATCAATATTTACATATATAAAACCATTAAAGGAAATGTGGAAGACAAAAAGAACTACTTTAAAGGAGCAAGTCATATATAACTTTAAATTGAGGAAGGTCCTCAACTGAAGAGTATAAATAAATTGTTCACACATTAGGCAAAAGACATACTAACTGGTCAGGTCTCCTCACAAGCTGCAACCTGTTCATGGCTACTGAAACGTGAGGGGGAAAAAAAGAAAAAACAACCACCCACACCTTTTTGGCCAGCCAAGTCATCCAAAACCAAATTAATAAAGCTCAGCGCTTTCGTAAGACTTCACATCTTCAAAGTACTGAGCACGCATTAGCTAATCAATGAATTCCCCTGTCTTGAATCCAAAGTGCATTAGCGGAATAGAGGCCAAATCACAAAAGTTCAGGCAAGCCTGACCTCAGCCATCTCACCAGCTTGTTGCCACGGGGGCTGGCTGAGACCCCGGCAGGAGTCAGCCCAGCGCTCCTCTGCTTCACGGCGTGCTGCCCCTTCCACAGCTGACTCCAGCCAGCTGCTAACCTCCCAGCCCAGGGGTAACTCCCAGCGGGGTATCTGAAAGCCACCTTCAGCACCCCCTGCTTCAGTCGTGCTCGCTCAGAAGCTCTGGTACAAAGGATTCACCTCCCTGGTGCCCCTTCCGCTCTCAGCCAGGGCCAACCGAAGGCTCCTCAGCAGAACTGCACCCAGCCACCTCCGCGCTGAGGGGAAAAGGTGTTTGGGAGCGAGCTGGGGGAGTGGAGTCTAGCAGAAGCTCCCTGCCCTGGCTGGGGCCGTTTCAAAGCAGTTGTCACCTTTGGTCGGCCGGCCCAACCAGCCTGGCCTCCCGGGGCAGGCC